CCTCTAGTGGTTGAAATCACTGACAGCACGTGCTATTTGTTTAGACACGTGATACCGCACACTGAACAGAGCGGGAACTTCAGACGCGGATTTAAATGCAGCTGACAGAAAATCCTGCCGCGCCACAGAGCGCCATTCACATAGTTTTCCTTTAAATTACATTATATTGGTCCCGAATCGTTGTTAATGTACATAATGAATTGTGTATTGTGCATTTTCAGCAAAACGTTTGTCTTTCTGTGGCTCTAATAAAGTCTGTGTGTTTCATTTATAGAGCTATAATATAGGTCGCGCTTTCTCTTTCCATTTGCTCCGTTTTTTTAAACACCGAACTACAAACTCATCTATGCCAAATTTTTCATTCTTGAAGTAAACTTGTGTCCGTTTGGTGATTAAATAAACTGTTTTAGACCGCTGCTCGAGTTGAACGCGACGCGTCCGGAGTGTGTGTGATACCGGTGAGTTCTCCTAGACTCAGCGCTGCGCTTTTATTTTGATTAGATAATCAAGTTTTCAAGCATAGAAGCAGTTAAAGTGTGAGAGTATACATACAATATCCATATGTATATAATTTTAATGCTATAGCCTTTGTGTATATAATTAAAGATGTGCATCTTTAAGCATGACAGTTGAAATGAAATGGTAACACTTTAAAATAAGAGCCCAGTTGTAACATTAAGATTAATGAAAGCTGTGTAAGTACTGTTTCCTTGTTAGAGTGTGTTAATTTCAACATTTACTATTACTATTATTTTTTTTACTACTACTACTAGTATGGTTCACTACTGTTTTTGTTAATAAAGCACTATTTTAGTTTTTGTTCAGTATCAATTTTAAAACTATCGGTTATACCTAGCTATCGGTATCGGCAAAATCCACTATCGGTCGACCTCTAATTCTGACGGCACCCATTCACTGCAGAGGACCCATCTGCATTTTGCATGGCCTGAGGGTGAGTACATTTTCATCAAATTAGGACATAAATTGTCATTAAACTCAAACTGAACTGTCAGTCAAAAGCAGATGTGGTCAGAGGTCAGACTCTCTTTTCTCTAGGTTTAAACATATCAGTAACACCGAGTAAGACACGTTCCGTCTGTCTGTGATGTCACAGTTCACACTCCTTCACAACACTGCAGTTTCACTCTACAAGTGAAAATTAGGCAAACGTGAGCACATTTTATAATCATGAAAGCATCCTATTCTGATGTTTCCTGAGTATCCTGAACACTGATGCACTCCGGTCCTGTGAAGACTCAAACAATGCACCAGGACAGTGCTTCTACACCGACACACACAGGTGAGAGTCTCTAACATCAAACATCACCAGGTGAGATTCTCCATGACGCTTCATGACACAAACCCTCAAATGTTCAAGTCAACAAGACAAGTCAAACTGAGCCTGAAAAATCAAAGGAGAAGCTGTGAACTCTGGAAAACTGGGGGAATTTCTGCACTTTGACCCACTGAGCAACAACATCCAAACCTGCCGATGTCCGAGTCTGATGCGACAGCGGTCAATAACAAACATCACGTACACTCCGAAACCAGCACTTTAACCTCCAGTAGTCTAGATAGACTTGACAAATTTTGCTCATTAATAAACCTTCTCCGATTCAACGCTTGAGTTCATCAAACCTGATCCTGATCCACTTTGCCACATCATTCATTATTCAAACATGAACTCAAAGCTCGGATCACGAGGCTGTTTGCCTGCCTATTTTAATCCAAACAAAATAACATTCTCACGAGGTTCGAATCGATCAGTATCACCACAGAACTGTAACCGCTAAACCACAGCACCCCACATTAGACCCTTAAAGGGGTCATATGATGCGATTTCAAGTTTTCCTTTCTCTTTGGAGTGTTACAAGCTGATTGTGCATAGATAAGATCCCTGAAGTTGCAAAGAAGAGTTTTGCGCATCTGTGTGTGTGTGTGTGCGTGCGTGCGCGTGCGTGTGTGTGAGAGAGAGATCACAGCGGAGTCAGCTGTCTTAACCGTGGCTTGTGTACTGCAAACACATACCAGCTTCATCACTGTGTCTGTTACGCGACTCTGTTCCCCTTTCGGGCTCTGTCTTTACATTTATTTTGAAAGATGAAGCTCGCGATTATGGTAAGGGGCGTTACATTTCCGACGAGTGCTTGCGGTGTTCGGCCAATCACAATGCACTGGGTCAGCTGGCCAATCAGAGCAGACTGCGCTTGTCGGAAGGAGGGACTTTGTAGAAAACGAAGCGTTTGAGAGAGGCGGGGCATAGAGGACCTACAATAATGTACAGTATTTGAAAAATAATGTGTTTTTTGAACATTAAAGCATGTCAACATATTCTGTTACACTAAATACACAAAATAATTATCTTTAAAAAAGCATCATATGACCCCTTTAATGCTGATATTGGGACGATATATTCTTCAATGGTGACTGGAATGAATGCATCATGGAATAAAACCCACACTCTTTGCGTAACCAGTTTATGTTTTGTTAACATAAACCTTTTTGGGATTTGAACCTACTGAGAAAGCAGAACTGATACTTAACCACTAAATGACAGTACTCCATATGGGAGCACTTTAGTATATTTATAGCCAATCTGAAACGGATGGGATTCAAACCTACAACCACTGGGTTATCATTTTTAACCACTACACCACACACTCTGAGCAAGTGTTTAACTAGATCAATAAGATGCTGAAAGTTGACATAGACTTTAACCACTAGATAATGCAGAGTAGGATTAACAGGATTGCTGAAATACCCAGCATTTAAACCCTTAATCCATTGCTTTAATAAAGTCACTTTAGGTTTCTTACCCAGCTAAACCTGGTTCCTATGAATAATTCTGATGTTTGAACCTTTGGGTCACCAAACCTGATCATTTACCACTAAACCACAGCATTTAAAAACTTAAAACACATAAACAGCTGCAAGATAAGCTTTAAAAGTGATTAACTAGATTAACTAGGTGCTAAAAGTTGACAGTTCTTAGTTTTTAACCCCACTAAAACACCCATTTAAAACCATAACCAACTGGTTTAAAGTCGATTATTTTCGAACAGTCCATTCTTAAGTTAAAACCTTTGGGTCACCAACCCAGATCCTTTACCACTAAACCACAGCATCTATCATTCCTGTCCCTTATACCTTCATCTTAACCACTAAGCCACATCAGCTCACCTTTAAAGACACAATGGCCTTGAGATTCAAACCCACAAACTACCCACGCCGTCCAGCATTTAAACATCTAGTGACTCCAAACACTGGTTATCTGGACGAGTTCGTGATGTTTCTTACCCGGCTGGACCAGATGCTGATCTGGGTCTCGGACAGCACCGCCAGGTAGAAGCGTTGCGCGCTGGGCTCGATCAGGAAGGGCCGCTCGCTGCTCCGGAGCGGGCAGAGGAGCCTCCGCGGCCAGCCGCTCAGAAAATACATCACGATCCGGTTCCGACCCAAATCACTGCGACACCGTGACGGACAGACTCCCTCCAGAGGCCTCCATCCACCAGAACCAAACAACAGTTCGACACGGACTCGGGTTCGTGTTCAGTCCGGGATCATATCAGCGGGATCCGGCGTCGGTTCTGACGATCTGAGTCCAAAATCCGCTGCTGCAAGAGAGAAGAAAAGCCCTGTAACGGAGCCGCGGAAGCAGAACCGGGTCTCGGCTCGGTGTCGCGGGGTTTCGCGGCTCTCACTGCGCGACTGGACCGCTGGACTCTGTAATCCAAAGAGAAGTTTTGGATCCGAATTTGTCCCATGAATCCTCCACCGTCGCCATCTTTAGTCTCTTATTTATTCTAAACGCCTCAGAGCCCAAACGGCATTTCCTTGCGCGGGCATGACCGTTACCGCCTGAAGGGGGCGCACTGCGGCCCACAATGCTTTGCGGTTAACGGAAAAATGATTTCAAACGGACTGAAATGTATACATTTAACCCTATTTTTTTTTTTGCCTTATTTTTGACCTTATCTCAGTTAGTCACGTATATTATAACATGTAAATATTTTTGTTTAGCTTTTATTATTGTTATTGAGCTTTAAAACACTTAATCGTGTCATTAGCATCATAACCGGAAGTGGGTCTCATGACAAGTATGTCGCGCGCTCTCGGTCTTGCTCGCTGATCTATAATAGAGTATATAGTCATTATATATAGATCAGTGGTCTTGCTCCGTTTCTGATATTCGTGCCGACGCATCACAACATGTTGGCGTAAAACGTCAGTTCCTCAGAGCTCGAAGAAACGCGTTCGATTCGAGGTTCAGGACTCTGGCGCCTCCTGCCGGTGAAAGTGAGTAACGCGTCACAGCCAAAATTACATTGCCTATTGGCAATCATTATTTCCACTCAAATAAATAAGTATAAATAGCTAGAATAAAAATGTATATAATATCTATGATAATTATAAATAGCTAAAATGTATTAAAAAAGTAAATATAATTTAAAAAAAATATTTAAACATATTTTAAAATAAAATAAAAATTAAAAAGACATTAAATATTCTAAATATTAACATTTTCATTCAATTCTTTCTTTAGATATATGTAAAAGTATTTACAAATGTAAATTATACTTATACTTGCCTGTACAAGCCATTTTACTAGGTACAGTACTATTGTGTGCTATGGAACTTTCTTAATACATGTAAATCATAACTGGAGCCACCTTATTTTATTTATTTAGTTATTATAAAGATCCACCATTGAAAGCATCATTAAGGTAAACCACGAGTCACAAATAAAATCATTCAATGTTTATTTTAAATTAAGCATCATAAGTCATACACAGAAAATCTGTAGTTGTTCCGAGTGGAAATCAGTAAATGATCATGGAATGATAAAAACAAAATCTACAGATTACTACCTTCATCTTTATTAAACATTATTAAAGTATTTCAATGTTACAGGATCGGTGTGTGTCCATATATTAGTTTACTTTTTAAAATATCGACATTTTTAAATATCATTCGTGCTGGTTGTCGAGGCGTGAGATCTGTCAGTCGGCTTTTTTATCGGTCACCATCTTCGGTCCGTTTGCCGTTCCGTTACATTCAGCCTGAGGAAGACAACGATGAACAGCATGAAGAACTGTGAACGCTCATCTAAACACTGCTACTGATGCTTCTCTACCTACTGGGGGAAAAAACACTCTTTCTTTTGCGCTTCAGAGGACAAAACTCAACAAATAACAACACGTTTTTAATAACATGACCGTGAACAATAAGAGAAGTTTCATTTCTGGGTGATTTATTCTGTGAAAATGACTAATAATATTTATATTATTAAAATAATATATTATAATACAATAATATTGCCATTAAAATTTAGATTAATATGTAATATTTATATAAGCATATAACAATATATAATTAAATGCATGTTAAAATAATATACTGTAATATATAACTATATTATTAAAATATATATGTTAAATAAAATGTATTAATATGTAATATCTATATTAATAACTTACAATATATAAGAAAATGTATATTATATTAATATTTCATATTTATATGTGCATATAACTATATATAAATAAATGTATATAATTAATATAATACATAATTATATGATTAGAATATATATTTTAAATAGTACTTATTAATATTTAATATTTATGTTAATATATAACAAAATAAATAAATAAATAAATATACTGTATATATATATATATATATATATATATATATTAATACTGAATATTTAGAAGATAGTGCTGGAAGGTTTGTGCAGCTGTGATTTGAGTGAGATCTGAATGCTGAATGCTGATTTACAGTGCTGTGTTTCTGAGTCTCCTGCACGGCTGCTTTCCTCCAGAAGCGGCTGATGAAGGGACAGATGAACGGATAGATGATGGGCTCCAGGAAGCGCTTATAAACCCACAGCAGCACAGGAATGACGATGCAGGGAATGCAAACCATATCTGACGGCTGACTGAAGACAAACACACAGCAGAGACGGCAGAACATCAGATTTATTCACAAAATATCTTTCAAATGAGGTTTGCAGTGACATGTTTGATAAACCATTCTATCTATTATTACATAGACAGGTGTTTATGATTAAAATATGCATTAAATTATTCAAATGTAATAAAAAGTACTGTGCTGGTACCATCTCAGTTGATGATGCCGAGGTGTGTGTGTGAGAGAGTGTGTGAGTGTGAGTGAGAGTGTGTGTGTGTGAGCGACTGTGTGTGCGTGAGCGAGTGTGTGCGTGCGTGCGTGCGTGCGAGCGAGCGAGCGAGCGTGCGTGCGAGTGTGTGTGTGCGTGCGTGCGCGTGTGTGAGTGTGCGTGTGCGTGTGTGTGAACATAATTTCTGTCATTGATCAGAAGGTGTCTGTTCCTTATATATATATATATATATATATATTAATTGTTCTGTAGCTTTCCATTACCCGTAGCAAGATTTTTACAGTATACAGTCATTACAAAGACATCATCTTTAGCTGATCTGGGTACATTCTTAATCAGAACATATAAAGTCCGATTTTACACGTTACTTCCTCAATATTTACATTAATATTTACAACTCCGTCTGATCGCTGCTGTCTTCCTGTTTACAATCATAAATCTGATCTATAAACAAACACACACACAATTCATTCTTATGTTCTTATCATATATAAGAGTAGAAGAGCGTATATCTGATTGAAAACTAGGCTAAAACGTAGTTAATGTGTGAAAAAAACTAACCTTGTTCTTAGCGAGCGGAAGTAATGCGACGAATAATGCTGAGTTTGTGGCGTCAGAGTGACGCCGCCGCCGCCGCTACTGCTGTTGATGCTGGCGCCACCCAGCGGCGCGGAGGAGCAATGACACGCACACAACATTAAAATAAAATAAAAAATAAATTAATTAATTAAATTAAATTTAAAAATATATAAATAAATAAAATAAAATAAAAATATTTTTGAAAATAACATTAGCCAAATAGTTTTCGCTGTATACATTAATTACAAAGACATCATATTTAGTGGATCTGACTATATAAAGTCATTACACCATGTTACCAGTGAAATCAAGCAATTTATTTGTAGGTCTCTGGGATAGATTTGCATTACATATATTTACATTTATTCATTTACTTTTTATCCAAAACAGCTTACAAATAAGGGTCAATTAGTTTATACCACCATTTTCAGTAAAATAAAACTGAACAATAGTTTCAAGTAAACTGTAAAAAGTGGCAACCTGCAATTGTTTCCTAAAAGAGATGATTTAACCCACAAACCTGCCTAACAACGCCCCTTAGCTGTTATAAATTCACTGTAAACCACGGCTTCACGGGGCTTATTGCGTGGTTGCCGAGCAACACACAAACGTAAACAAAGGTGTATGTTACTTTGTAGAGTAATTTACAACAGCTTCGAACGTGGCTCAGCCAATCAGAATCAAGCACCGGAACTCTCTGTTTTATAAATTCGGTTTTTTGGTATAAATGAATGTGTTTAGGTTGATTCTGTGATGTTAAATATTATTTTTGACTTGAACATAATAGGTTAATCTATAAGTTGCCATTTTGGTTACTAAAGAAAACTATATCAGAAGTAGAGGAGGAGTTATTATAAATAATTATGATAAAAATATTTTCAAAATACAACACAAAAATGACCAAATATATGCCTTTCAGGGAGATTTTTTATTGTGTTTTTTTATAAATCCACAGGAAAAAGGCTTCATTTATATACAAAACTGTACAATTATTTGTGCAGTCTGAATATAGAAATCTAAGAGCTGGACAGATGCAGAAAATATTAAACAGTCTGTGTTCAAAGATCGAAGGCCACTGAGTTTTATAGTTTATACACTGATGAAGGCAAGATTCTGCATCATTTAACACCTGAAATGCTGAAAAGACACGAAAGGCATTTAAACTACATTACATTCGGTCTCAAACACTATCATTTGAACTCAAACATTGATTTTCTCCATTGACATCCATGCAAATCAAACTCATCAAGTGCAATATTTATTTTTTGAACTCAATTCATGTTTGGCACATCGATATAACAACATAAAGAAATCATAAAACTCAAATAAATGGCTCAGAGATCAAAACAATTTTGACCATCTCAAAAAACACAGTGCGTTAAATGTGCAGCTTCAGAATTAAATTTAATATTGTGTATTTTAGTGCAATATGATAATACATACCTTGAGTTATGATAAGAGGTTATTATGTTATGAGTTTACACCGAAGCATCTAGTTTATGGAAAGCCAGTGCAAACACTTTAAACAGTAACATGTCAAAACAAGCGTGTGATCCTGTCCGCAAAACAAAGAAAATATACAGATTGAACCTTTGAAAATACTTGTTCATATTTCAGAAAACATCCTGAAATATTAGTTCAGTAACACTAAAAGAACTGCACGCTATAATTGCAATACTGCTGTCTAATAATACTTGCAGATTATCTTCATTTCAGAACAATTCTCATCTAAAATCATTCAGGCAATCGTCTGCGTTTAGTGTTTGAGGATCAAAGATCACATTTACAGAAGTGTGTCGGACTGAAATGACTGCAGACGTTAGATTACATATTCCACAACATCAAATCAACAAATACCAAAGCAACTTTAGTATTTTACACGTATGAAATCAAGGCACAGTGATGTGATGTCAGCTGTTCACCGAAATAAAACACGCAACATGAACAAAACAAGGGTTTGTAATGAAAGGCAAAGCAGGTTCAGTCACATGTGGCTCGTTCACACAGGACGGGCTGCGTTATTGTTTGTCTGTGTACATGCGTGTCAGATTCGTGTGTTTGGTTGCGGTCTGTCATGTCAAGGTAAAACTACTTTCTCTGTTCTCTTCCATTGATCTCAGTCCAGGTGTTTAAATGCAGGAACACGTCCTGTGTGAACGGACCATTTGGTAACACAAATATAAAGTAGCTTTTGTTTGGCCTTTTAAGAGTTTCTAAACTCTGAACACAGTGTCTGATTGTTAAAAGTGCTGTAAGTGATTTCAGGAGCTTTCCTGACTACAATCCCACACGCCCTCTGACTCCGCCCACTAAGACACACACGCCTTCTCTGCTAAACCCCGCCCACTAAATGACACACTCACCCAGTCAAACCCCGCCCACTAATACCCGCACGCCTTCTGTGCTAAACCCCGCCCACTAAACACACACACATTCACCACGTCAAACACCGCCCACTAAGACACACACGCCTTCTCGGCTAAACCCCGCCCACTAAATGACACCCTCACCCAGTCAAACCCCGCCCACTAAGACACACGCCTTCTCTGCTAACCCCCGCCCACTAAATGACACCCTCACCCAGTCAAACCCCGCCCACTAAGACACACGCCTTCTCTGCTAACCCCCGCCCACTAAATGACACCCTCACCCAGTCAAACCCCGCCCACTAAGACACACGCCTTCTCTGCTAACCCCCGCCCACTAAATGACACCCTCACCCAGTCAAACCCCGCCCACTAAGACACACGCCTTCTCTGCTAAACCCCGCCCACTAAACGACACACTCACCCAGTCAAACCCCGCCCACTAATAACCACACGCCTTCTGTGCTAAACCCTGCCCACTAAACACACACACACACACACACACATTCACCACGTCAAACCCCGCCCACTAAACAACACACTCACCCTGTCAAACCCTGCCCATTAAGACACACACGCCTTCCGTGCTAAACCCCGCCCACTAAAATGCACGCGCACACATTCATGTAAACGACACACTCAGCCTGTCAAACCACGCCCACTAAGACACACACGCCTTCTCTGCTAAACCCCACCCACTAAACGACACACACAGCCTGTCACACACCGACCACT